AATTTGTATCGTTTTGTATAGCAGAAATTGTGCTGCTACAGACTACCATACAATGTACTACATTCGTTTACATGAAATAGAAACTCTTTACATACATCGACAAACATGCTTCAGATTTAATAATCCCGACGAAATAGCCATTGCTCCTCTCCATCTAGAAAAAACGAAACCTCGAGAAAACGTGTGCGTATAATACACATCACTAACATGGAGTTTAACCCCCTGTTCTCTCGTTTTCCCCGGAGCAGGGTACGTGGTTGAGGGGGTGGACGGTGGAGGGTTGAAACAGCGTCTATATTGGCCCCGCTCCTAAGTGCACTAGCGCCACGTAACTAGACGGAGAAGCACTCTCCAGCGTTTTGCTACGCGCGCGAAACCAGGTCACCAAACCGCAAGGCAGCTCGACTTGCCACGAACCCCACACCCTCAACACGCCGCCCTGTTGCACGGTCAAGGGCGTAAAATTCACATGAAATGGGCGTGGTTCAATCTGCTCACCCATCAGACAACATTTGCGAGCCAATGACGCCAACCTAATTTGGCGGTCGGCAATGACATTTGTGTCGAAATCAACTGGCAATATGGAAAGAGAAATGTAACTTGTTTGTAAATTTCTGCGCAAGCTGCGCTTTTAACGTTATTAAGCTTTATCCGAGGTAAAAAGTATGTACAAAAATACCTGCGGTGGTCATCTAGCTTTTTTTGTAAAGAAATAAAAAAAGAACGTCGTGCGAAAGATCTAATAAACAATTACAAATCCTGCAATGCTAATAAAATAGTTACGTTTCTACTTTTCACGATTTTCCTTCTCTTTAAATTAGTGAACCCACGATTTTGTTCTTCATTTTTTCTTGTCTTGAGTTTAAGATATTTCGATAAATTCTCCAATTATGAATTTGTTATTTCATTTCTTTGGTTCACTAGGTGGTGCTACAAAAAATACATTGTAGTCATCACCGTGAATGCATTTCGCATTGGAAAATTCAATGTATTTTAAGAAATATTATTAAGAATCACGAGTTACGTAAAAGTTGAAAGACAGACAAATGCTGGCAAAGTGATCTAGTTAATTTCGAGTTCGAGGATCCTTCACG